ATGTGGGCCGTCCCACATAGTGCGATTTCCTGGATGGTTTCTTCTTTTAGGTTCTTCATAATCTTCTTTAAATTTCCTTTTATTGAATGTGGCATGGCTCCCAATGCTCCCACGATGACCGGAATCGTTTCAGTTTTTGTTCCCCACATCCTGGTTATTTCAATTTCCAAATTTCTGTATTTCAGCCTTTTGTCTGCTTCTTTGGCTGTGGTGTTTTTTTCTGCCGGCACGGATACCTCAATTAATTTACACCATTTTTCCGCATTATGCCTGAGTATGATATCCGGTTTGTTAGCTGGCACAGTTCTATCAGTGTGGATTTGTTGATCATATAGAACTGTGCATGGGCCTACTGTCGTAACCGGGCTTGGAATGTGGTTGTACCACTCCTTGGGTAATCCATCCATTCCATATTCTCGGCATATATTCCAATGGAGATATTGACATATTTTATTGTGCCTTTCTAAGTATTCATGTTTTGCCAGTATCGGACAACCGGAAATTAAATGATCGATGGTTTCCGATTGTGATTGGCAAATTCGGCACTTGTCATCTTGGCGGACTTTGAGAATTACTTTTTCATAGTTATGGGTCCGCAATGCCTGATCTTGAGCCGCTGTAATAAACGCTTCTGTTTCTATTTTAAGTTTTCCACGTCGTAGCCAATTGTGCGTGCTCTTCTTATTAATATCTTCGGCATTTATTCTTTTTAGGTATTGCCCATGTAATTTTTTCTGTTCCCATTTGCTTATTAATTTCTTCTGAGATTGGGCTTTGCTATTATAAGTTGCAAGTTGCCCCTCTTCCATTATCTCGTTTTCTTTATTTTCTTGGACAATTTGTTTTGCCCTTTTCAGAACTCCTTTCTTTGTAGTTTTTTCTTCTGCATGAATAACTTGGGCTAAGGTGGGGTCCTCTCGATGGGATTCTATGTATTTTCCCATTCCAATTATGGCATTCTGGTATGCCGCTTCTATTTGTCGTAATCCTCTTCCTCCATCTTTCCTGCTGACGTACAATCTATCCACATCAGCTTTTGGATGTAACGCACCATTCATGGTTAATATTTTTCTTGTCCTTCTATCTAGGTGCGTGATTTCTTCTTTCGTCCAGTCTACGAGGCCAAAACTATATTCTATTACAGGAACTGCTAATGTGCCGACGGCGGTTATCTTATTTCTTCCATTCAGTTCCGACTGTAATATAAGCCTCAATCTTTTAAAATACTCTTTCTTTAATCGCGGCTTGATTTCCTCATTGGCTACCCCAAAATTTTCTTCAATCCCCAGATATTTGTATGTTGATCCAGGGTCCAATTCTTTAATGAGTTCTTCTTCAGCGCCTTCTACATTTTCCTTTTGTTTTAATTTTCCTCTGACAATATTTATTCTGGCACATTTCTCTAACCCAAATTTCATGTTGATGTCAGAGGAAAAGGTTTGAACCGTCCGTAACATTTTATTTAACTCCTCTTCATTTTTCGCATAAATTTTTTTATTATTATTATTATTATTTTTATTATTATTATTATGGTCACTCTTAAACACGACAAGGCACTTATTTGTCGGGGTTTTTAAGCATTTATCCCAGGTTTCTACCCGATTCCTTAGGGACAAATACTCGAATTTATTATTATTATTATTATTATTATTATTATTTTTTAATGGGTTGGGTTACATTATGTGAGTGTTTTTTCATTCAATTCGTCGTATTAAATTTTCCAATGGGGAGAAGGGAAAGGGGAGGGAGGGAGGGAAATGAGAAAAAATGTTGTTTCCTTCATCGTCGAACGTTGGAAAACGTTTTATTATTATTATTATGGATCAAAGAGCGCGATTTAAAATACAAAGTACAAAAAAAAAATTATTATTATTATTATTTTTATTATTTTTATTATTATTTATTTATTTGGAAAAGCTTATGCGGTTGTTAACAAACGAGAAAAATAACGAAAAAAAACTTCTTTCGTCAATAACAATCAAGTTTACCTTGTAGAAAAAAAAAAAAAAAAAAAATTTTCTAGAAAATTTCCTGGAGAATTTTCCATAAACGACAAAACATTTGGAAAAGTTAATAGTTAGAAATAATAATAATAATAATAAATAAATAAATAAATAATTTTTTTCCCGTATAGAAGTATACGGCCAATTTATTAATTAATTGCCGCGGGCTTTAATAATAATAATAATAATAATAATAATAATGTTAAAATCCTTCTGCTTTTTTCGATTTTCTAATTCTAACGTTTGAATATTGTCGT